TTCTTAAGTGTTTAGCAGTTGTATGTGTATGTATCTTCATTATATGTGTTAACATGGTTATGATAATGAACTATCATAACCTGGGGGCTTTCTTTAGTAAGTAGTGGGGGTGTCCAGCCAAGTGTGCCTAGAAATATATATATATATATATATTGACATATTTTGTAGTGCCAATACTTGAGTTGCCCTACTCCAGAGATAAGTTGATCGTATATTGGCCACGGGGAATCCCTTAGACCAATACGAGCCAAACGACTCAACAAAATTATCTCTGAGTGCTGCTGGTTCTGAAGGAGAAATCCTTACATTAGGCACGCGACAGGAGTGATATGTGACAAGTACATCCCAAAATAATGCGCATGGCTTCATTTTGCACCTTTTCGAGTCGTTCAATCTGGGTAGCACTGACAGTGAGGATGGCCAGAGCGTATTCAATGGGGGAAAGGACCAGACCGTAGAATAGAAGTATTAGTAGTCTTTGCTCAATGTTGGAAGCAGCCATAATCCTCATTGCAGATAGACCTTTGCGTGCTTTTGTTATCACATGGTCAACGTGTTCCCTGAAAGACAAGCTGCGATCGAACCTCACCCCGAGAAACGTCATAACGTTGGTTCTGATCAATACATTATCACGCATTTTCACTTCTGGTAAGTCCGACTTGACAATGTGATTGTTCAAAGAGAACCATGACAGTGATGCCTTCGAAGGATTGACATAGGCATTGGAACCATCACACCAGGCGGCAATTCGATCGAGTTCTTTGTGCATAGTGCTGGCGATCTCCTGTCTATCACGCCCTCGTCGATAAATCAAAATGTCATCAGCAAATGACAAAGTCCTCCCCTTTCCATTCAACTGCTGCTCAGTGATCATCACCGTATAAACGTTGAATAAGACTGGTGATAGCGGTGATCCCTGTGGCAAGCCTGGACATATCGTTTGCGGTTCTGAGGACCAGCTACCACATCTTAGTACAATCTTTCTCTGGAACAGGACCGCAGCAATCCAGCGGATCAGAATAGGATTAACTTCTAGTTTAAGCAGTAATTGCATTAAATAATCGTATGGTACTTTATTGTAGGCATCTTCTAAGTCCAACACTGCCGCACATGTCTCTTTTTTTAATCTGAAATCCCTCGTACACATCGTAGGCGAAAACTGCAGCATTGAACCATGTCTCTTTATTTAACCTGTACCCTCCAAGTGTTGTGGGAACTTATCGTGTAGTTCCAAGTAGGTGGTCAATCTTTGTGCGACAATTTTTTCCAAAAGTTTGCCAACAGTATTCTGCATCGAGATGATTCTGTAGCCGCAGATCTTCGAGTGGTCTTTATTAGGCTTTGGTAGTGGGAACAAATAACTATGGAGCCATTCCTCTTGTATCTGGCCACTCTGGATGCTGATATTGAATTCCTTTGCCACGCTTTTCAAATCAGCATTCGACATCATCAGCATGTCGTTGTATCGGATGCCGTCAGGGCCTGGAGCAGTGCTGCGCGATTTCTTGAGGCAAGTTCTTAAGGTATCTGCAGTGATTGTGAGATCAGTGCCTAGCACAGTGTTCTCGCACAGCATCGACAGTTTCATCTTAACCCCTATTCTTGTAGCTTCGTCTTTTTGGTCAGTTTGCTCCAAGTAGCGCGCCAGAAGGGTTTTTCCTTTATCAGCATCAGTTCTCTGCCATATCAGGTCTGTACCCTGAAAATCAGGGATACCCCTTGGTCGTGCGGCACCGTGCATGCTCCGTTGAAGGCGCCAGAATGTCACAAGAGATCCCTCGGAGCAAACGCTCTTGCAGAATTCGTTCCATTTCGCTGTCTTAGCTTCCTTCGCAATTAACTTGAAAGCCACTGTCTGCTTGTTGACCTCATCTTTCAGACTGATCAGGCGTTCAGAAAGTGACGGATCAATTTTCCTTGCCCTTTGCCATGCCTTGACAGCTTTCCTTTTTTCTAGCCACGCCATGTTGACTACTTCATTCCACCATGGTGGCTGGGCCCATCTCTCCCGCCGTCTGCGATCTACATGACCTTTGTTGTTGCTCTTCTCTACCAGGACGACGCAAGGAAAGTGATCACTGTCGTGGTATCCCAGTGTGCTCCACCTGCATCCTGATGCAATGGAGGGAGACACTAGGGCCAGGTCAATTACGCTGTCATGAAATATATGTTAATGAGGAAAGATTGGAAGTGGTGGAAAATTTCGAATATCTTGGGTCACTGGTTACCAACAATGGTGACACAATGAAAGAAATTAAACGGCGACTATCAATTGCTCTTCAAAGACTAAAACAACTGAATAAATTATGGAATTGTACAGATAGAATTACAAAGGTCAGATTTTTAAGAGCATGCATCTTTCCCATTGCAACATACGCCTGTGAGACCTGGACACTTACTAAACAAGCGGAACAGCGCATAAATGCATTTGAATATAAATGTTACAGACAGGTTCTAAGAATATCTTGGGTAAAGAAAAGAACAAATGCATCCATACTTCAAGAGCTGAATATTGAAGAGGGTTGGCTAGTAAAGACAATAAAACAAAGAAAATTGAAATATTTTGGTCACTTGAAACGTCATGGAAGTCTAGAGAGAACAATAATGGAGGGGTATATGCCTGGGAAGAGAGGAAGAGGAAGGCCAAGGAGAAGATGGGTGCAGGATGTGGCAGATGATCTCCAGATGGGTGTATCAGACGCAGGACATCTTGCTCAGGATAGGAAGGTTTTCCGGAGGGTTGTTATGGCAGCGAGGTTCCGCGAGGGACATGCTACTGAATGAATGAATGAATATATACGCACGCGCGTGTGTACACACACACACATATATATTTATATATACACGCAAGTCAATACCTAAGTCACATATGGTTATTGGACGGCAGGGAAATGTTTTTGATTGTTTCCAAAGGTGTCTTTAGGTGACAGCAACATCGAACTTTATGTCACCGTTTGTTAGGTGGCGCTAGGTGTTGCATGTACATTCGCAACACAGAAACAAAATGGCGACTGCACTTACGGAGTGTGCCCTCAAAGAACAACGTTCTGTTGTGCGGTTTTTTTTTTTGGGGGGGGGGGGGGTTGGCAAAAGGTCTGCCTGCAAATAACATTCATAAGGAAATGCTTCCTTCTTCTGCAGACAAATATTTATCCAGTAAAGTGGTGCATAGCTGGATTTAAAAAAAAATTCTCAACAACGCGCTTAAATTGTTGACTAAGTCCTATCTGGGCGCCATGTTGAGAGTGCAACAGACACATCCGGGAAGTGGGAAAAGGAGGTGATTAGAGGTGACAGGTGAGTAACGGTTGACTCTGTAGCAGCTGCAAAAGTGTGCTCACATGGTTCAGCATACACTGAAAACCCACCCCGGCGGGAGACATTTCGCAAATGAAGCAGAAGTTGACTGTGAAGTGAAGATGTGGTTTAGAAAACAGAGCACGCAGTTCAATGCATCAGGTTTGGGAGGACTGATAAAACGTTGTGACAAATGCATCAGTGTTGGTAGAAATTATGTTGAAAAAAAAAAAAAGGACAGGGTATGTGTAAAATAATATTAAAAAAAAAGAAGAAAGATGGTTTTCAATTTGTTATCTCTTTATTACTATTTTTTAAAATAACTATTTGTTACTTACTTATTGACTTCCCCTAATTTGATACTACCCCCCCCCCCCCCCCCCATAAATTTTGGCAGCCCTGACTAGACGTCCCTAACATTGTTTTACTGAACCCTTTGGAGTATGCTCCAAATGCTCCAAGGGAGGGACCAGCTTAAGGAACCTAAAACACAGGGGTACTTATGCAGGGTTAGCTATAATCTAAAACATCGAGAGATTAAGGTATATATTTAGAGTCTGCCCCCATGCCAAAGTGGTTAATTAAGTTTTCTGCCTTGATCTCTGGAGGATTGTCGTTGGAGATAAGGAGTTCGAACTTAGTGGGACATTGCATGTGTTTAGTCATTACGGCCGAGCCACACGGGATACAAACGATGTGCAATGAAGTCCATCCTCTCCATTATTATTTCAATACAAAGTGACGGACGAATAGTAGTCACAGAGAGTGTACAATCAAGACAAGAAACAGACACAGCTGGAGATCCATTGCAGCCCTCCTTTATTATGGTGACGGCATTTCACTAATCAACTGACTTTCATCATTCATAGAGAACCCTGTTGAGCAAGGTATGCGGTCTCTTCTTCTTTTTCTTCCCACACGGGGAATCAGAATTCGAAGCTTGGAGATCAATTTGATAACAAAATGCAGTTTTACAAAAGTAGAGGTGTCAGCTCCCACCCTTCAACCTTTAATCTGGAGGACCACGGTGTATCTCCATCGGTTTTCTACCAGTTGTCCTGCCCAATTTAGGAGGACCAGCTTGAAGCTGAGGACCTGCTTGAAGCTACCCTATCGCTGGCATAGTTATCACGGTCACTGAGAATCATCCTCTCTTTTTCTTCTTCGCGTTCACCGGCTGTAAACTCCAGCGGGAAGTTCTAGATTTTTGTCTTGTTTTGCGTACACGTCTGTTTCACAGGTCTGGCTTATGTGCATGTGTGCTGTAGGTTCCTCGCCACTTAGGCAGATATTTCAAAGGAAAGAACCTTAAACAGTCTTTTACGACACTCTTGTCAAGGGGTAGTGGGTCTACCCCACCCCCAGTGGACCCCAAAACCCACACGGGGATTGAGAAACATAAACTCCCCACACCACGACAAATTATACACCCTAGGAAGAGACACTATCTCCTACGTGTCTTTAAGTGACCCACATTAACCTTTGATCTCCTACTCAAACATAGAGGCTACGCCATTTTGAACAGTTCGCCGTGAATAATGTTTCAAAACATCCTTTATGCACTAATGTCAATTAATTAATATGCGTTTAAATTTTTTTTGCTTAAATATTTTATCATCTACTTGAAAAGTAATATTTTTAAGTAAATATATTTTGTAAAGTTGAGTTAGCAATAACGCACTAAATGTGTAAACTATCAAAACATGGCGGCCCCAGTCGTGAGTTTGCAGGCTCATTGCAAATTGTTGTTACATGCAGCAAAATATCCGCACGCTCCTGTTAATGGTGTTCTTTTAGCGGAGGATAACAAGAACAAAGAATCAAAAGTTGTCAAATATGTCGACAGCATTCCACTGTTTCATATTTCACTTGGTCTGTCTCCGATGTTAGAGATGGCACTTCTGCAGGTATTAATAACTATTAATTAATCGACAGATAATCTTCTTTAGTCACATCGGACAAGTCCATAAACGCTCGAATCCCATCTCTAGAAGTATTTACCCCAGCGTGCGGCGACTGATAACACCAGTTCTGTGTTGGTTTCGTACTCTTCTTTGGCCGCCTGTATAATGTTCATTGTTTGATTGTGGGCTCTCCTCCGAACTTCTACCCCAACGTTATGGCGGCCAAACAAATATCCTAACAGGGCCTCAGTCATATGAAAAATGCGGACTTCTCGAACTTCATGCCGAGCGTCAAAACTAGGATCGGCTCCGTATAACGAAACAAATGCTCTAACAGGGTCTCAGCGATATGTTAATTTTGAACCTGTTCTTGTGACTGCCTCACCGCCGACCGTATACCCTGCGCCCCTACGCGCGGCGCAGATGGAGGCTAAACTAGATGGCTGGACTCATGAGCAGCAGCTACCGCATCTCCTGCAACTTCCTCCAATTTATTTGCTCGTGAGTCCCAGGCATCTAGTTTAGCACCTCCAATCATAGTCCGCAATTTACATGTGACTGAGGCTCTGTCAGGGAGTGTTTTTTGGCCGTTATTCGGAGGATAGCCGTGATTTACATATATTCATAGCTACTTTAGTCAAATTACAGCACAGTTAGATAGCTGTAAACAATCTCTTTCCAATGGTACCTTATTTAGGCTTGTATGTCATTTCTGAGCTGAGATATGTAGGTTTTTGTGGAGATGTAAAAAGCAGCTGTTAAAACTTGCGTCCCAGAAACAAGAAGTTTTCTCTGCGCAACCAAACTGTGCACTTTTGTTTTGGCTTTGTTTACATTTGAGATTAGAGCGTGTAGAATTATTTGAAATAAATATAACCCCTTGACATTATATATTTTTTGGAACGGGGTAACAAGGTCAAACTAAAAAACTTTGAAATTTTTAGTTATGTAATATTGGCTCCTAGTCACTAGTGAAAATTTCCCAGACCAAATGGCAGACAATTTTTTTTCAGACACAGCCACATAATAGCGATTGCCTGAAAAATGTCACTGTAAATCTAAAAAGCCACTGATAAGAAAGAAATTTTCTATACAAATGTAAAATTGGACGGAGAATTCAATTATAACTAGCATTACCATGTCTAGTAACAGCTAAAGCCTAACACCAACCTTGAATACTTACCGATTTTTCAATCAAACTGATGTAACAGAAAAACAGAGTAATTCAGGCTGTCACAAACTTGCGCTTGTAATCGGGTTCGTTCCCGCCGTTTTCAGCTATTTATAGCTAGTCCAGATTCACACCAATCGCGAAATTTCATGAGAGATTTGGATCCATCCGGAAACCAGCCGAGATTTCTCGAACAAGTTTCGAACGGTTTCCGGGTAACAGAAATTGCCGAAAAGACCGCAAATTGCCGTACACTGTAGTCGCTAATATTCAAGATAATCAAGTTCTTACCCCCACAAGACTGAATACTTATCTGCATGTGTACACCACTGATGTAACAGCCTTTACAAGGAAACCCAACTGGCTTTGTTGAAGCTTGTCATTCAGTTCATCTTTGGGCTCTACTCCAAACTTAGTCCCCATATTATGACAGCCAAACAAATACCCTAACAGGGCCTCAGTCGTGTGTAAAATGCGGACTTCCTCCGACGTACACATCGCGGCAAAACTAAGATTACTGTCCATTGACACTTTCGAGAAACGCAACAATACATACGATAATAGTGACATGGCGGGGAGACCACACGCTCTGACGCAGGTTAGCGATAGTGTTCTTCTGATTAAAATCACAGCATATCCCCCTCGCCGCTATGCGGATTGGGGGCTAAACTAGATGGCTGGGAATCACGAGCAGCAGCTATTGCATCTCTTGCAACTTCCTCCAGTTTGTGTGCTCGTGAGTCCCAGCCATCTAGTTTAACTCCACCATCCGTGCCGAGCGTACTGTCGGTGGTGCGGCATAGTCGCAGAAACAGGTCTGCAATTATCATATCGCTGAGACCCTGTTAGAGTATTTGTTATCCCTCGATAATATTGGCCTGTTTTTCGGAAGCAATCCTAGTTTTGCCGCGATTTGTTCCTCGCAGGCACTCCAAATTTTACACATGACTGAGTCCCTGTTAGGGTATTTGTTTGGTTGCCATAATATGGGGATGAAGTTTGGAGGAGAGTCCATCTTTAATATCTAAAATTATCTGTTCATGTCTGGAGATTGAACAGGCTGTCTGATCCAGTATTTGTCTTATTGGTCTGCTGTCCAGAATATAGCTATGTAATGTCGCCGCATTCACATTTCGTTTTTGTTTGTTATATTGTAAAGCTCGCTTATCTTATTTTTGTTTGGTTTTATATCTTTCCGCTGTGTAATCTCATGGTGTCAGACTTTCCAGCAGGAGCCTCTTTTTGTTGGGGAGGGGAGATTTTAGCAGAGATTTTTGTGTGTGGAAGAGATGGTGCTACAGAGAGTCTAAAAATATGTCTTCATACTCACAACACAGTGTCTGTTACAGTAGCTATGAAAAAATATGCCCTAGCAAAAGGTGCTGGTACCCCGTACTGAGTAGCTGTTGCCTGCCACCAGAAAAATAAAATATCTAGTTTGTAGTAAATTAACATTTAAAGTTTCAGATGAAAAAAAAAAAACACACACACACACACTTGTGTGGCTAGTTTTTATGAGTTCTAATTAGTTCTTGTTTTCCCAATCATTATGCAATTCTTCTACACTTACATCCAGATCATTGAGCATTTCTTTTTCATGCATATGCTCACAATTATTGACTACTTTTGTCAGCATAAGCTGTCTTCGTCGTGGATGAACATCACTCGCGATGGATGAAAGACACTCTGTTCTGTCTATAGCCACCATAATAGAAGTCACGGCATGAATCACCGGATAAATACGTTTTTAAGCCTAGCGGAATGTCTTCCATGTGATATTTCACTGTTTTCATGTTTATTGATTGCTCCCTTTATGAGTCATGTATTTAGATTTTTTTTAAAATATATTAGAAACAAATATTTAGCAAATTTATTAGTGACCTTTGGGAGTCGCTGTGGCATTGGCGGCTAGACCCCCGCTTGTGGATCAGAAGGTTGTGAGTTTGCCCCCTGACAGAGCCGGAATTTTAAAAAAAAATGACCTTGACTCCCTGGTCGAGCATGCCTATAGTGGGAATTAAAGATTACCGGCGTGATTCTGACCACATCACCCACCGAGTGCTGATTGGTCTATAAAAATATAGGTCTAGCCCTATATTCCCAATACGCCTAAAGGCAGGAAGAAGGACCTTTCCCTTTATTAGTGACCTGTATAAAATAGTTTTTGTTTTAAGGAATTTTGGCAGTGGCGGGGGGATAAGAGGGACTTCCAGGGCTTTATGTCCCACTTTTCAGCGTTACTGAGATGACAGGGTTAAGTTAATTAGATACCTGGTATTTGGTTTTATTTGTAATTTATTGCATGTTGTAGAAGTATATGTTTACTGTTTAATTTTCTCCACAGATTGATGCTTTCTGTAAAAGTATATGTTTACTGTTTGATTTTCTCCCCAGATTGATGCATACTGTAAAAGCAAAGGTCTAGTAATAGGAGGCTATTACCAAGCTAACGAGAATTACAATGATAATGAGTAAGTTGAGTTCATACTTAGTTCCGCTTTTCTTTCTGTCTTTTTACCTTAACATGACTGACATTCATACACAGTTGAGGGCTGTCTGGTAGAGGTTGTACATTGGCTTATGTAGTCAGTATACTAAATCATATACAGTTGGTGCATTTACTCATGTTTAGTCTCTACATAGCGTCTTATATAGTCTGCACATCTCTCCACATTCACATCTGCACTGGTAGTCACACAGACCACCACTCTGTCACATATGTATGTATTATTTTCCACCGACTGACCCGAGTCGACCCTGTGTTGTGTTAGTGTCTGCTATAAATAACCCCTGACGTCACTGCGTGTCGCTCGCTGTGCGAAGAAGCTGTGCGTTGACCCAATTAAATCTGCCGGCTTCTGTGACTTTATCCAAATTCCCTACTAGTTAGTTAGAGAACGAGTAGCCTGCTAGATTAATACATTTACATTATTATTGGGTTAGGTAGGGTACAAACTCAGCTTGCGAAGGGGAAGGTTTGGTTTAAGTGGCAGTGAGTAGAACTTTGACACCAAGAACGGTCTCGTTCTGTAATGTCTCATAGCTGAATCATTCCTCTCTCCTCCTGAATCATTCCTTGTATGTATGTGTGTATGTATGTATGTATGCCTGTATGTATGTAATCTATGCATGCATGTATGTATATATGTATGTGTGTGTAAGTGAGTGGGCGAGCGTGTGTATGTGGGTTTATGTATGTATATGGGTGTGTATATGCACGCGCGGGTTTTGGTGGCATGCACTTTACAACGCATGCTTTTGTGTTCTTTTATAATATTCATAATATGCATATCATCATATGATCACAACATGCTTCATTAGTAAAATACAACTGCTGTGCGAAAGATGGTTGACTGAAGGGGCGGAATGTAAGACGGGCCTGCGTGCCCAATTTGTGACCCTTTGAAAATAAAGTTTGTTCGTTCTCTTCAGCAGCTGGTTAACTATATAGATACATATATCATGGTACTCGTAAACTATAATAGACTTACCCAAGCTTTGTGAAATGTCCTTGGTACAAAAGCCGCCTATTTAAAGCATAACTTTCAGAGGCGCATACATGGACATCATTTCTACTTGGAAGACTGGCAGAGAATGAGGGAGGGAAATTTAGCGTCACTTTCGAAGAAAGAAGCTTCCAGATCAATACGCAGAGAAGTGAATAGGCTTGTCGGATTATGAATATTAATATAGCAAATCTCTACCCTGTAAGTTTAAAAATGTAGACTTCACAAGAGACCTTGAACATATAGAAATATCTATTTCGTTAGAATAGAAATGATGGACTATATACCCACCGGACGGGTCTATGTTTGAAATGTGACCTGCCCGCTAGGGGCGTTAATGTCACGAATAGTCAAAAGTGTAGGGGTTGGTTTGGCCATTCCACGACACCAATGACATGTAGTGTTATGCGATGATGATAGTCAGTACATTTGAGTCATGTAGAGGTTGAACATTTGAGTCATGTAGAGGTTGAACATTGAATCATGTAGAGGTTGAACATTGAGTCATGTAGAGTTTGAACATTGAATCATGTAGAGGTTGAACATTGAATCATGTAGAGGTTGAACATTGAATCATGTAGAGGTTGAACATTGAATCATGTAGAGGTTGAACATTGAGTCATGTAGAGGTTGAACATTGAGTCATGTAGAGTTTGAACATTGAATCATGTAGAGGTTGAACATTGAGTCATGTAGAGGTTGAACATTGAATCATGTAGAGGTTGAACATTGAGTCATGTAGAGGTTGAACATTGAGTCATCTAGAGGTTAAACATTGAGTCATGTAGAAGTTGAACAGTGAGTCATGTAGAGGTTGAACAGTGAGTCATGTAGAGGTTGAACATTGAGTCATGTAGAGGTTGAACAGTGAGTCATGTAGAGGTTGAACAGGGAGTCATGTAGAGGTTGAACAGTGAGTCATGTAGAGGTTGAACAGTGAGTCATCTAGAGGTTAAACATTGAGTCATGTAGAGGTTGAACAGTGAGTCATGTAGAGGTTGAACGTTGAGTCATGTAGAGGTTGAACAGTGAGTCATGTAGAGGTTGAACATTGAGTCATCTAGAGGTTGAACATTGAGTCATGTAGAGGTTGAACAGTGAGTCATGTAGAGGTTGAACATTGAGTCATCTAGAGGTTAAACATTGAGTCATGTAGAGGTTGAACATTGAGTCATGTAGAGGTTAAACATTGAGTCATGTAGAAGTTGAACAGTGAGTCATGTAGAGGTTGAACAGTGAGTCATGTATAGGTTGAACAGTGAGTCATGTAGAGGTTGAACAGTGAGTCATGTAGAGGTTGAACAGTGAGTCATCTAGAGGTTAAACATTGAGTCATGTAGAGGTTGAACAGTGAGTCATGTAGAGGTTGAACATTGAGTCATCTAGAGGTTAAACATTGAGTCATGTAGAGGTTGAACAGTGAGTCATGTAGAGGTTGAACATTGAGTCATCTAGAGGTTAAACATTGAGTCATGTAGAGGTTGAACAGTGAGTCATGTAGAGGTTGAACAGTGAGTCATGTAGAGGTTGAACAGTGAGTCATGTAGAGGTTGAACAGTGAGTCATGTAGAGGTTGAACAGTGAGTCATGTAGAGGTTGAAAAGTTAGTCGTCTAGAGGTTGAACATTGAGTCATGTAGAGGTTGAACATTGAATCATGTAGAGGTTGAACATTGAGTCATGTAGAGGTTGAACATTTAATCATGTAGAGGTTGAACATTTAATCATGTAGAGGTTGAACATTGAGTCATCTAGAGGTTAAACATCTCCATCTGCCAACAGAGTCTAACATGTGTCCGATAAACCAACCGTAAGCTTGCCACTTGGTCGTCCAGGTAATCTGACTGCTCTAATTATGCTACCGCAACGACTTCGTATCTCACAGTACCTTTTGCAAGTCACCGATTCGTCTTGTCCCTGTCCGAGAACATCCGGTAATACATGCAGCAGGAGACAATCAACCCTGAGCTTCATGAACTCAGGTGGGCCCACTCTCTGAAAATGTCTCGTGGGCCAAAACATTTGTCGACGAGAGATTACTTCTACTGATGATTGGTAGACCCCTGCTGTACATGCTCCCCTGTGGAGTTTCTTTTTATTGAGTCTTCTAAAGGTTAAACATTGAGTCATGTATGGTCAGTACATTGTGACACGTAGAGGTTAAATGAACATTGAGTCATATAGAGATTAAACGAACATTGAGTCATCTAGAGTTTGAACATTGAGTCATGTAGAGGTTGAACATTGGGTCATGTATGGTCAGTATACTGGGGCCATAAACAGCAGCATCTGCGTAGCGCATGCCAGGGCTCCTCACCCAATGCTTGTTTTAAAAGATAATGCTAAAAGGTAGAGTGGGAATAGTGAAGAAGAAGAAGGTGTGGGGAAAGATCTTTTACTGTTGAATGTTGAATTAAGAATCAACAACACAGCACTCAGGACACCCCCATAAGCTCTCCGTCCCCATCGTCAGCAGCAAGCTTTTACTGTTAAGTAGTTCTGTGGTTCCTGTTTGTTTGAATTTGTTATTTAGACATCCTGACAATTTTACTGTTTCAGATTGAACCATGTGGCAAAAACGATAGGACGCAAGATCCAGGAGAATTTTCATGATGCGTGTGTGTTGATGGTGAGTTTATCTTTGATCCTGTCAGAGTTGTCTTCCCGTGTGGGGTCCAGTGCTCCATTTGGGGGGGGGGGGGGGGGATGTTCCTTAACAAGTATTTAATAAAAAGCAACTGATTTAGTGTTTGCTGAAATAAGATGTGATGGGCCGAAAAGCACTGATGTCACAGCTTAACTGTAAACCACAACACGCCACCTGCTCTTTTAAGGGTTGACACAGAAGAAGAACATCATCGCTGTCTTACTAACTGGTTCTCATGTGGGTTCCGGGAAATGTTGTGAGGGGAGAACAGAATAGGCTCCCTTGCCCCCAACAAGCGTGTCGTAAAAGTCGACTAACTGGGTCCTTCGAACTCGAAGTGCCTCTTCCTGTTAAGTGATTAGCCAACATTCTGCACACAGATAAGCCAGATCTGTTTAACAGATGTGCACTCAAAACTGATGTTCTGACACAAGACTCGTCATCATATAGCAGGCCCTTTGCAGAACATGGCTTTCATGATGGTCTACCTGAAAGAAACTTGATCTCTTGCCATATCTCCTGCCTCGTGTACTTTCATATTCAAGGAGTCACTTATATCGTGCGCCCATCTTCCTGTTGGTCGGCCCCTGCCCCTCCTTCCTGGAACAAGACAAGTTTAGAAATGGACGAACAACCAGAGCTTTCCGCTCCAGTGAATACCAAGAAGAAGAATAACACTGACAGACTGTCATGGGCGATCATGAGTCCCCTTTTCTTGCAGCCTCCAACAGCATTTACCTGTTCATGTGTAACACACCCCACTGTGCCGTTAAAAAAAAAAGACTAAAGAATCTTCTCTTGTTGTCTTTCTCTATTTCTTATAAAATATTTCCAGTTGTCACATGTTTCAGTTATGTCTTTTCATATTGTGGCAGAAATGATGTCTGCCTTTCTGATTTTATCTTCATACCATAGGCTCTTAGAAAACATCATCATGATCATTATTTGTATCTCAGTATGGGTTCCGGTTTTTCACTCAAAGGACATGTGTGACACTTATACACCTTCTCAACTTAAGACCTTTGCTACTTAGGACTATCCCCACTTATGACCCCAAAGGGAATAAATAAAACAAATAGTAATCTGAGGTTGTAGTTTTCTTTACAGATTGTACAATAGAGTAGATATGTATGTTTTACATTAGTGAAGGTCCCTTTGCTAAGCCTTTAGGCATATAGGGCTAGACATATATTTTTGTAGACCAATAGGCACAAGATGGGTGATGTGGTCAGCATCAGGCCGGCCACCTTTACTTCCCAGGACTGCACCCGATACCCACTCAAAGCTGATTTTTCACATTATTTACAATAATTATACCTACATAGATTTAAATGTTGTGTTTTATTTACAATTTGTCTAACCTGTTTGAATAAAAATACTGTGGGAAATTATAAATTTGACTTATGTCCTGTCCCACTTACAACAGAATTCGGGCTTAGGTCAAGGACCTAAATCTTTGAGGCTGCAAGGTTATTGTCTGCCTGTTCCTTTTTGTGTTTATTCGGAGTGTGAAATTGACCAATGCCAATGTTCAGTCTCCATATTTACTGTCTTGTGTAATTTATAACATTTTGTAATTGTAACGGACTCACAGGGAATGCTTACACAAATTGAAATAGGTGTCCTGCGCTCAGAGTGGCTTGCATCACTTGGTAAGATCAAGGTCAAGAGCATATCATGAGTTTTCAGTCCAGGATATTCAGGTGTGTGAGGTAATGAGCAGGCAGATCGATTAGCTGCTGCCGCCCCTCTTAGCAGTGAGCTGCAATATGAAAAAGCGGATGTGGTGAAGGCTCTATGGGATCAAATGGACATTGCAGTAGAACAGATAGGGATTCCATTCACTGAAAGACTAATTAATTCAGTGGTTTGACGAGGTTCATGAAGATTTTTAACATTGAAAGGAAAACGTAGGCGGACTTTTAATCAGTCTGCAGCTGGTTTTGTTAGCATGTCATCTCTTAGTTGGCTCCTGAAGAAAGGGACAGAGCATGTATGGGAATGTCTCGAGTGCAGTTATGTCAGTTCTTGATTCATTCATTTGTTGTAATCTATAACTAACTTGATACGATTGAGAAGAGTCACAATATTTTAATTTGTATAGCAGATTGACAATCGGAGAGTGAGAGCAGAGTCCGTGAGTCAGGCTTACAGAATATTCACACTGAAGGAGAGCGGCTGGAAAGAGGCAGACAAAAAGTAGGTTGTTAATCTTGACTTTTTGGTAGCAGCAAAATTATTAAAAAAAAACAAGTGAATCCTTTATTGATTTTTTTTCCTGTGTGGATTTGGGGGACCAGTTTGGTGGGGGGTTGGGGGGGGGGGGGGGAGTGAGACAAACCCTGTGCCCTACCTAACAATAAATAAACAGAGGGGGAACCTTTGAAACAGTTAAATATTATAAATTAATCAAGTAACAGAAAGTAAATTGATCGGCACTCATAGAAAGAAGTAGAAAGATAGAAGAACACACTAGGCAACATAAAAATCGAAAGCTATAGTTACCGTGCCGGGAATTGAACCTGTCACCTCCAGACGGCGTCTGCGCCTCGCCATGGATACAAGTGCACTAAGAACATGGTCAACTAGGCACCCCCTAACAAGAATGTCATAAAAGACAATTTAATTAGTAGTTTAGATGTGTTGTGCAGATTTCACAGCCTAGCTGACAGCCACAACACAGGGTTTTAACCGTGCTTTTGAGGGCGAACTTGAAAGAAAAAGATTGTTAGTTGAAGTTAAAGTTGAGAGGTTAAACTTCGCTCCACCAGGTTATCCCACATGGTTCTGTCTGCTGTACGACTTTACATTGAGTCATATAGTCTGTACATTGTGTACTGTAGAGGTTGTACATTAAGTCATATAGTCTGTACATTGTGTACTGTAGAGGTTGTACATTGAGTCATATAGTCTGTACATTGTGTACTGTAGAGGTTGTACATTAAGTCCTATAGTCTGTACATTGTGTACTGTAGAGGTTGTACATTGAGTCATATAGTCTGTACATTGTGTACTGTAGAGGTTGTACATTGAGTCATATAGTCTGTACATTGTGTACTGTAGAGGTTGTTCATTGAGTCATATAATCTGTACATTGTGTCCTATAGAGGTTGTACATTGAGTCATATAGGTGGTGATATGGTCGCCGTCACGCCAGCTGTCTTTACGTCACAGAACTTTACCTGGAACCCATTTTAAGCTGAAACGACCTGCGAGACCAGGTTATTTGTAAAAACATTCGGCTCAGTGTGGATTTGAACATCCGACCTTCAGGCCTGAAGCGAGTAAAATCCAAAGCAGTGGCAGGATTATTATTTTATCAACTCTGTGGTCAGTCAGATGGGGGCCCTAATAATTGTAAGAATTATAAGGAAACAATCTGGGAAAGAACTAACAAACTTTGTTTTCAAAGGGTCACAAATTGTGCACACAGCTCTGTCTCACATTCAGCTCTTCAAACACTCAGAGAGCTTGACCATACTAGAGCCTCAGTTAAGTAGGAGACAGTTCGGTTTCAGGAAGGGAGAGAGCTGCACAGATGCAATATTTCCTTTAAGGCAGATATGCCAGCAGTCTATTGAATATGATGGAAGTCAACATCTCATATTTATAGATCAAGAGAAAGTGTTCAGTCGAGTCAGCAGATAAAAACTATAGAAAATTCTAGAAGAAACACCGCGAAAACTGAGGATAGGCAAGAAATATAATATCATGAACATTCATGTTAACGATACTACAGTCAAACAAGTACGAGAATTCAGATATCTAGGAAGCATATTCACGAAGAATGACAGACTCGATAGAGAGATAAAAGCCAGAGTACAGAAGGCAAATGCTGTCACCCACCAGTTAGCCCCACTGCTTACACACCCAAATTTCTCCCTTCCAGCAAAACAGCAAATGATTAATAGCATTTGTATGTTATCAGTGCCAAGCATGGGCTGTGATTAGGGCACTTGAACAGAAAATAACTATATGTCAAATTAGCTGTCTCCACAAGGTCACTAACAACACTAGTCGAGACGGGGTTATGAATACCAGCATTAAAGAGAAATTTAAGCCCATGTCTGAATTATATTGACAGATAAAGAATGAAATGGTTCAGCCATTTAGATGAGGATGCAGCCAGACCTGACTGTATATGAGACTTTTTACAGTAGAATATCTGGAAGGAAGGAGAGAGGAAGACCAAGAAAGAAATGGATAAATCTTCTTCTTCTTCTTCTTCTTCTTTACGTTCACCAGCTGTAAACTCTGGTCTTTTCTTGCTTTCCCTATAATATTACACTGAACCCACACGGGGGAGATGGATAAAGTAGCTGAAACCTGCAAAAAGATGAACAAATCCATCAGTCAAGCCACCCAAGAAGCACAAGACAAATACAGAAAACCACAACACTGGGCTACAACCTGGCATCAGTAAGATGACAAAACCATGACACTGGGCTACAACCTGGCATCAGTTAGATGACAAAAAATGACACTGGGCTACAACCTGGCATCAGTCAGATGACAAAACCATGACACTGGGCTACAACCTGGCATCAGTTAGATGACAAAAAATGACACTGGGCTACAACCTGGCATCAGTCAGATGACAAAACCATGACCCTGGGCTACAACCTGGCATCAGTTAGTTAACGCTGGGTCAACCTGCGAACCAAGGTCATGTTTAAAAAATATTTGGGCACCTATTAACTGATTACAAAACTATACATTTAACACTTAGAAACTTGATGGTTTTTCATTTGTAAAAAAAAAATTTGTTTCAAATTATTTTCCAGAAGCACATCGGAAGATGATATCAGTAAAGAAGAATGTCTGTACACACTCCTCAAGTCAGGAAGTCAACGACAGCTCCGTGACTTTGACAATCATCTAGATGACGTTGGCAATGACTGGAGAAACCTGGAACTCAATGACATTATAGGTCGATGTACATAAACTCAGATCTTGTATATATTTTTGGGAATCACTTGTTGATGTCAGTGCTTTATGTCAGTGTTTCTCATCTTGGGGCATAGAACCCTGCACAGGGCTGTGCGTGTGCGTGCTTGTTTCCCCCTTGTTTCCCCCCCCCCCCCCCCCCCCCCCCCCCCCCCCCCCCCCCCCCCCCCCCCCCCCCCCCCCCCCCCCCCCCCCCCCCCCCCCCCCCCCCCCCCCCAAAAAAAAATTTTTTGTTGTTGCCTTTTTAAGAATTATTTATTACGGAGGCTTAGTAAATGTTCAAACTAAACTGCCATTTGTAAGATCTTATTTATGTGTTTTTGCAGTTCTGAAGCTCAAGGAAGCGGCTGTGGTGTAGCGGCTAGATGCTTACCTTTGTATCCAAAGTTTGTGGGTTAGAATCCAAATGGAGCCCGACTTTTTTTTTTTTCAAAATGACATAAGGTCCCAGGTCGACCCAGCCTTGAGTGAGTACCAGATACAGTCCTAGGAAGTAAAGGCGGCTGGCGTGATGCTGACCACATCCCCACTAAGTTTGGTTTGGTCTGTAAAATGTGGGTCTCGCTCTATATATCCTGTATACCTGAAGGTGTGGAAACGGGTCTTAGATACTCGAACAGTCAGTGACATGCCATCACCATAATGAAGGTTAAATGGCTGCGGTGGATCGCCAGCATGCTCCGACTCCCAACTTTTATTTTGGCCTAGATGTACATTCTTTCAGTGCTGTTCATCTATCTCTTAATGTTATCCTTCCACTTGTGTCAGTGTCTGCCTCTTGCTGGCCTGTCTAACTTTTCTCTCCATTATGGTTTAAATAAGAGTGTTGTCTTTTAATGTGATTGAAATCTTTCACTTGCATCATTTTTATTTCCTTTAGCTACTTCCAGGAAAGTCTAATATTATAGGGTGGCTAGGTTTGTCTTAGTTGGTGTGTTTTTTTCACACCCTAACAACCCTATACTATACTTTCCCAGGAATTCCCCATGAAATCTCAGAGTCCCCGAGCTGGGGTGAAATAAAATAAAAGAACCCTCTCTTCATTCCTAGTCTCTTCAGAGCCTCAGACCTTGGATATTTGTTGCTGCATTATTCTCTCTAGGCCATAATAATCTAGTTTCTTTTCTGACTTCGTTGCTTGTTCCCAAAGGGCCTTGACCACATCTACCTCGTCATGTATCAATTCACCACACAGTGGTGCAGATGCAGCCAATCTGTCTGCCTGTTCATTTCCCAAAACACTGGCATAGCCTAAGGAAAATGAAATCTCCAGGCACTTCTCTTCCCTCTCAACACAGAGCCGTCTGTATAGATAATTGGATTGTCTGGGCGAGAATTGTCAGGAATCAACTTAATGGTAGCAGATCACACACGGGACGGGAGTTAAGAATGAAAAATTGTAGAGGAACAGTGAATTATTATTTTAGTTGTTTTACATCTCTTTGAAATTTCTTGTATAGTTTTTTTTTTGGGGGGGGGGGGGGTGGGGGGGGTGTATTTTTCCTGTTTTGAAAAAGAAATTACTTAGAATTTTGAGAGATGAGTTGGTGAGAAAGCAATGCTGAGCATAAGAGAAGATATTAAGTTTCTGTGATACGGGAAGAAAAGTGGAGGTGAAATGATTAAATAAAAAATTGGATAATATTGAAGTATGTGTCAGCTTTACAGAACCAGTAACAGTCAATAAATGAAGGCTGTTTGTGGTGATTAGCCTTTATCAGCAGCAACAACTGAAATTTCAAAACCAACAACAACAAACACAAATGAACTGGCTGTAAAATGACTGTGTTGTGGCATGATGTGTTATACAAACGTTTTTTTTTTTTTTAATATAATTTTTTTTAAACTATCCTGGGATCATGAATTTCTATTTGCATTAAGGTAGAATTTTTTAAAACTATCCTGGGTTAATGAATTTCAATTTGCGTTAAAGTCAATTTTTAAAAAAAACTATACTGGGATCATGAATTTCAATTTGCATTAAAGTAGATTTTGTAAAACACACCTGGGCTTCCAGGTTTACTCAATCTAAAGAAGGTTCAGGAAAATATCCTGGAAAGTAAAGTGGGTGATGTGATGTTGACCCTTTGACCCATCAAGTGCTGATTGGTGTGTAAGCAAATTGCCTGAGAGCCAGGGTTCCATAGAGGCTCCACTGCTGGCCTGAAGGTCAAGAGTTCAAATCTGCATCAAATCGTTGCCTAAATTGACCTTTGCTCCTAGGTTGACCCGGACTAAATGGATACCAGGTAATGACCTTGGAGGTTAAGATGGCTGGTATTGTGTTTACTACATCAGCTATCAAGTTGTGACTGGTCTGTTCAAATCTAGGTCCAGCATTGTATCCTTGATGTGCAAAAGACGTGTATAGGGCCCTTTTCTTACTTTTCTGCTTTTACCTACTAAATACCCAAGAGGTGCTTGGAAACAAGTTTTTTTTTTTTTTTTTAAATAAGCTTTTTATTAAGATTTGTTTGTTTGCCTGGTAGGGTGGTTGCATTCATTTTTTTTCAAATTTTACCAGTATGTAGATACTTGAGTGGCGGTGAAAGTTTCAGAGAGATACACAATCAGAAACATTGATGTCATAATTAAACTTACAGAACTGTATGCTTGATTGGTTTTTTATAAATGTTTTGTGTGTTTGATGTTTGTTGCTGTTGGTCTTGAATGACTTGAAAAGAATCCTTGTGACAGCATGTCATACAAGGCACACACAAAAAGAGGAGATGGAGCACAAGGGAGACCAAGAACAAAAGGAAAGATAACATCAAACTCTACAACAGCACAATGTGTCTGTGGTGTAGGTGACCAGAGGAGCATGAAGCAGAACTGTTATATCTCCTTGGACACCTAAAGCAGTGAAGGAGGATGTGAAGAAGTCTCAGATGACAGCAGTGGCTTCTTCAGGGATCGTTTGCCTGGGTCACACAAACAAGAACACTTGAGGCCTTGTTACTTGTTGTTCATATTGACATAGCACATCATTAGTCCAACCCATTCATGCTCCATCTGCCGATATGTATCCAGTAGGAGTTATCAGGGTATCTTTCTTTGCCCTGGGAGTTTCCCTGGTGTAGCCCCCAGACGCTTGCCTGCTGATCGGACTGTCGTGGGTTTGTATCCTGATGATGTTTTTTTTAAAAATAACCTTGGCACCCAGGTCAGCCTAGTCTTAAATGGGTACTAGGTGCAGTCCTGGAAAGTAAAGATGGGCGGCGTGATGTTTACCATATCACCCACTGAGTACCGATTGGTCTTTAAAATATATGTCTAGCCCTTTGTGTTCAATATACCTGAAGACATGGGGAAAGATTTCTTATTTTTATTGCTTTCTGTGCCCCACTGCTGGTCTCTGCATTCATGTCCTCTGTTAGTACCCATTTCGAACAGGCATTTGATCGTTTCTGAATCTTTTGTCTTGTCTCAGGAATGCAGCACATCAGTATGTCTGTGCATGAGGTCTTCACCCGTGAACTAACTGTCCTGGAGGGTTTCAAACCACATGGTGGGTGTAGTTGCAACAGAATGTACAGGTTAGGATTATGATAGCTTGTGAAGGCCAGACAAGTGGCCCATTAATCATTGCCAAACTGGCTGACTCTGCACAACTTGGTGGAATACTGATGCATGATAAGGCAGACGTGGTTATTGCCTTGTGGGAGAGCGTGTACAGTTCGGATGAGCAGATGGATCACCACAGTCTGGTGAGATTGATGCAGTTTGGGGTGACGAGAGGTTCTGGCGGATGTTCATGGCTCAGAGGAAAGGCAAGACGGACATTTAATCACAATGCTACTGGCACCATTAGTATTGGTACTCCTCACTGGCTGCTGAAGATGGGGATGGAGCGCTTATGGGAATGCCCCGAGTGCTGTGACGTCAGTTCTTGAATTAACTCAACTAATTGCCATCTGTACTGCTGGGGTTCTGGCCTGTGGTGATCAACAATTTTCAAAATTATGGCCCCTGAGTCAACTTAGTTGAATAGCCCTGATCTAACGGGTGAGAATCAAATAATTACTTCTTCTTCTTCTTGTTTTTTCTACTCCTCGAATGCCTTGCGGTGTCAGGGCAGGAAGAGATCTCTGGAACAGGCCCTTCTGTTCACTTTGAATATAATACTTTTCAGTGTCTCTGATATTTCTGCGGTCCATCTTCTGCATGGTCGACTTCCGGTTCTGTTACCGTTGTATTCGTATAGCATTGCTCTCTGTGGTGTCCTGTCGGATGCAAATCTGGTTACATGGCCAAATAATTTGATTTGTCTACTTATAAAGTTCAGTATTATGTATTCTTTGATGCTCTGTAAATGGTTCTTTTCTTGTATAGACCCTGACTATCTTAACATAACAATCAACATACAGTTAAGTTCGCATCCTTAACTGGGCGTTGCAGAAACCACCCCTCACGCTCCCATTTGTGATTCGACTAGGCAATGTTACGTTCAGTAGTCTGCCACTGCAGACGTTTGGCTCTCAAAACCACTGTTGAAACCTATTCTAAGCGGTCTGTCGCCAAGTTCCTTGCAGATAGAATCTAACCCATCCCTGCGAAATTAAGAAGAGCATTTACACGTTTTTTATCTGGGAACTACATTTACCGAAGATGGGAAATTAGATAAAGAAATTGACATTAGATGCAGTAAAGCAAACCAAGAATTGGGACAGCTAGCCCCCCTCTTACAGCATAAGACAATCCCAATCAGCACAAAGAGACATCTTATTCAAAGCATATTTATACCAACTCTGTGCTACCAGTGCCAGACATGGTCACTCACAACAAACCATAAAAGAAAATTAGTAACCACGGAAATGAGATGTCTGAGAAGGGCTGTAGGAGTCACCATAAGAGATAAGATCAGGAATGAGATCATAAGAGAACAAGTCGACACAGAGCCAATTCTGGATTACATACAAAGGCAGCAAGTGAAATGGTTTGCCCACTTAGAATGCCTTGTGACACCATACCATACAAAGCATACATGGAAAGAGAAG